TGTGTCCAGTAGGCAAATTCTGTGTGATATATGTGTTCATATAGCTTTTATCTTAGCATGTCAATATCTGCGTTTTCAGCAGGCAATACTGTAACCTATCTGCATTCATAGTAGCTTTTTGTTCAGCATATATATGCACCTTCAGTAAGCAAAATGATGTAATATCTGTGATCATATAACTAGAACCCACCACTTGTTTTTTCAGTAGGCAACATAATTAGGATCTTGTTTTTGTGCAGTCAATATGCGTTTAGCAGGCAATATTGTCGAATGCGCACTCATTTAGGCCCAATTCTCAGATATCTGGAAATACAGAGGGGCGAGGGTTGCTGAAATCGAGAAATTTTCAGAGCAAAACTCAAATTCCGACAGACAATCAACAGCTAGAGGTCTTAGATATGTCTCCCACGCACAAATCCTCACCCCACCATTTTGGATTAGGGACGGATTAGAGGTGCAGCAGCACACAGTCATTGAGAGGGAGGAAGTGCAGCAGCTCATAGTTGCTTGGATTTTGGGGTGGTAGGCAACAATTCATGTCGCCATCCCATCAGATCCCAGGGATGTAGGCAATAGTATGCAGTGTTTTTACTTTTAGGCAATAGAAGATTTAAAACTAGGCAATAATAGTGGATCTATAGGCTGTTTTTAGAGTGTGTTTCATGCTGGCAAACAACAACAGCAGATACAAATCAGGCTGTGTATGAAATTAGGTCAAGTGTGGGGTGCATATTTTTCTATTTTTCCTAATTATGTCCGCTGTGCTTGCCTACATTTTATATCAACTGAAGAAAAACAAAGAGAGCACCAGCCATCTTCTAGGCAATAGAATATGTTTTTCCAGGCAATACAATGTGTTCTGCTAGCTTTTTGATCTGTTACTATAAGCGGGAGTTACAAATGATATCTCTACAATATGTGGTAGTACAAGTCTGTATTTTTCTGCAAATCCCCTCATGCTAGTCTTAGTGCTGCTAAAAAGTCAGTTAAGTTCAGTCAAAAGTTTGCTCTATTATCTCTGCTGGGATTTGTTCCTACCTTTTTGCTTGAGATATCTGTTGTCGTACAGATTTAGCGAAGGTTTCTTAGATGAAATCATGCAATAGTAGGGTTGCTCTGGTTTTTCTATTTTTTAATTCAGTAGATGTGCAGATTTAGCAAAGTGCAGTACTTGAACACAGCCACTTCTCTCTGAGAGTAAATGAGCATGTGTAAGTGTAGGGCTGGCCTTTTCATACCTAGCAGCCTCAGTTTATCTCCAAGGAACTATTGTAGTTCCAGACATTATTGTAGGCATTTTTGGATATATGCAGGCATCTTTCAACAGCAGATTTTCAGACATTTTTTTAGGCATTTTTGGGTGATACGTAGGCATCTTAATTGTACTTTTAGACATTATTGTAGGCATCTTTTCAATTGTAGAATTTCTGACATTTTTGTTTGTAGGCATCTTTGGTTAATACGTAGGCATCTTAATTGTAGTTTCAGAGATTATTCTCTTCTCAATGCAGGTTTGCTAATCATGGGCAAGTCCAGCGGTGCCAGTTTCCTCAGTAAACTCAAAGGAGGACTTACTCGGAGTGGACGAGCCCACAAGGTTCCCTCCCGACTACGCGAGGATGGCACCTCACAGGGAGGTGGAGGGGTCGGGGGAGGAGACCCTAGAGGAGGAGGGGGTGGGGGGAGAGCCCCTAGAGGACGAGGAGGTGGGGG